TGTGGGCCACATATTGACTTAGAAAACCACACATCAACATTATCTATGTTCTGCTGTATTGTTATTTTGTTAAATATAATTAAATTACATTTTTGTTTGTTTCCAGCCAGTGCTGTGAGCATTAGGACTAGTGTTTGATGCTTCTAGCCTGAGAAGGTGAGTGACAGAAGAAGTTAAGTGGCTTTCCCACCATTAACCAGGTCTCCTGGGTTCCAAGACTTGGCTTGATACCTTCCATGTAAAGTAAAGTACAAAAGTTTGGAAATTGACATTAGAACCAGATGGCATTCAGTGCAAAGCTAGACAACAAAGAGTCACTGAAGATTGTTTGAGTAGGAGACTGATATGGTCAGACCTGTACCTTAAGAGGGTGATTTGGCAGCAAGGACCAGTGAAAGCCATTGATTATAGCTACTGCTTAGATATCTTTTCCCCCAGTGCACTCTCAGTGTCCTCAGAGTCACATCTGCCATTCAGCTTCAGTGAGAAGGGGATGTCACCCATGGAGTATAAGGTTGGCCTCTGGATACCTTATTTAACAGGGCAATCAAATTCAACTTACAGGTTTTCCTTTAGAGCAAAAAAAATAGATTTCCAGTTTTCAAGTTAATTGATGCCATGCTTAGATCCAGATGGAATAGCACTGGATCTCTTTGGTAGGCTCCCAGTTCCATGGAGTGGAGAACCCCTGAGAAATCTGTTACCAGTGTCCTTACAGAATAGTGTGAATGCTCTACATTTCTAGTGGTGTGATCCAGTTCCTTCCTAAGAGACAGCTTCTCTTTGAGGGAAGCAACCTTCCTCTTAACAATATGGTTTCTAGCAATACTTCCAGAAATGAAGAGGTGACCAATATGATCTTAATGAATTCATGGGGATCTCATCAACTTTAGCGATAGAACATGAGAAGAAATATTCTGGAGTTAACATCATGCACTTACATGAAGGCTGGGCAGGGAAATAGTGCTAGGTCTAGAAGCAGAGTTCAAATATCAACTCTGCCCCCTGACACCCTGTATGACTTTGAATGACACATTTAGGCTCTCTGAGTCTCAGTTTCCTCAACTTTAAAATGAGAGAGTTGAACAAGGTCTTGAAGGTCCTTTCCAGCCCTAACTCTATGATCTTATCACCCGGAGATTCCAATTATATCCTGCCACACTTACTGGCTGAATACCAGGGGGCGAAGTCTTTTAACATTTCTAAATCTCAGTTTCTGCATACGTAAAAGTGTGATAATAATGTTTGAAGAGCTTCTCTCATACGGTTATTATGAGGGCCAGATAAGATTATACATACGTTGTCACACTTAAGGCATTATATAAATGTCAGTTATTATTACGTTCACCAATTACTGATGCATAGAATGTTAGCCCTGGAAGGAAGCTTCAATTTCCTTCATCTAGTCCAACCCCCCCCCCCTTATTATAGAGATGTCAGGATAGAACTCAGGCTGTCTGACACCTAATCTAAAGCTCTTTTCACTACCCCACAATGCCTCCTTCTATAAGTAATGCCAAAAATATGGCAGGATTCTGAGCCATCTTGCCAATGACCTTTTAATCTGAAGCAGGTCTTGCTTACCTGCCATGTGAATCAAGATCACTGATTTGCAAGGGACATGAATTGCTATCACATTCTCGGACTTCTTTCTGATAGCTTTTGAATGGCACACTCACGAGACTTTCAAAATCTGCTCTCTACATTCTTGACCCTGCAGGCCAAGTGCCAGGACAACCCTCACTCCTCTGCTTGGGGAGTAACAGATCTGCCTCAAATGTCTACACACTGTGGAATGTGCACTTCCTATGTTCTGCTGACTCTCTTGGCAACTCTCTGCTTGCCTGTTCTGACTAACGTTCATATTAGAGGCTGACCTTTCATGTCTGTGATGTGAATGACGCTCCAAGGCCTATCCTGGCCCATTGTGAGTCAGATCTAGATCAGTCAAGGGGCTCTAGTGGAGGGCTTCCCTGTGAACTCCATAGGAAAGAGGATCCTGGAATATGCTAATTAAGAAAGTGTGCTGAGACAGATGGATCAGCTCTTCAACATAAACAGAAATAACCTTACCAGGCCGCTGATTCCATTTGTGAAATTTGAATAGGTGAATAAAGATAGATGCTACTGATGACTTATGCTTTTAGTGACAGTGCTGGTTTATAAAAAGTCTTAGTTTTAGTTGCAGAAAGACCAGTGGTTTTTTGTTGGCTCTGTGTGTGTGTATGTGTGTGTGTGTGTGTGTGTGTGTGGTTTTTGTTGTTGTTGTTGGACTAGAACATTGCACAAAAAAGCATGACAAGGATTTTGTTGCTGGGAGAAGTAGGGCTAAGTTCACTAGGCCTTTTCGAGCTTCTCTACCCAGTCTAGCCTGTGTGATTTGCTTAGAACATAAGGAGTATGGTAGAAGAGTTGAAAGTTATTTCCCCAACAGTTTCACCATAGCTTGCTGGAACCACAGAGTATGATAAGAATCAAGGGGGATTTATGGCCATAATTCAGATGAGTGTTATATTGAAGGAGCCAGAGAATACGACAGAATAGCAGAAGTCATCAAGGAATAGATAATTTTAGTCTGGGGGCTTTTGTTAGCTGCCTACTTGGGTATGGTGGTTCAGAGGTATATCTAAACAAACCTCTAGCTCATCTTTGCCAGGGAGGCAGCAGATGGCTCTGATAGTTTAAGGCCAGCAAATGGAAGCAAAGAACACTTTAGTGACCGAAAGGCCAGGAGTGATGTCCCCAGAGATGATTTAACAGAGAGTAAAGACATGATGCCCCCCTATTTCTGTTGAGGGTATCACCGTCATCCTAGTCAGCCAGGCTGACAACCTAGGTGTCATCCTCAACTCTTCACTTTCTTTTATCTCTGCATCAAACTAGTTGTTAAGTCTTTCATTTCTACTTTTACAATATCTCTGTAGTTCAGGGACACATGTGAGATCACAAAAAAATGTACCAGTGAGGGAATCATCAGTAACTCAGATGATACAAAATGGCTGATTATTTCAATTCAATAGATATTTAGCACCCGCTGTGTGCAAGGCACCGGTGTGTTCAGGAGGACTGCCACTTCTGGTGTGAGGGCTTGCCAAGTACTTTTCAGGGCTACTCATCTACCTTAAGTGTCCACTTGACTCACCCAACTCATACCTGTGGCATCCACATTGGCCAAACCCCAGTAAACCATCTAGGCAGATGAGCTAAACCAGGTTTAGGGTAACTGACAGGCCTCAAACCTGTTGGCAAGTTAAGGGAATGTCTACCCCAAACAGATGAAGACTCTCTCCAGTGGAATGGGCAGATGAGACAATTTGTTTCAATGATCATGGAAGGTGGCTGAAGCAGGCACTGTGGTACACTTAGAGCTTGGTCAGATATTGAAGATGGCAAGGTCATTTGTTACATTCTGGGCCGTCGCCTGGCATCTTGACTTTGTCTTGACACTGAACTTCAATGACTCTGGACAGAGTGAGGCAGACAACTTTGTGCAACTCTGCCTCACTTAAATCCAATTCACATGCCAAGTCAAGACATCACCCATGATGTCTTTGTCCTCTTCAAAGACGAAGGACAAACAATGTTAGACGCTAGAGACAAAAAAAAAAATCAGGTACTAAACTATTTCAAAATCCTTCCAACTCTGAGATCCTGAGATCCTGTGCTCTTGTGATATAGTTCTTGCCCTCAAAGGGCTTACCATCTAGTAGGAGGAATAAGACATATATGCAAATAACCATGATGCAAATTGAGAGAGAGGGATGAGTCTATGATTTCACCCATGTGGGAAACTACCTGTGGAAATTATTTCACTAACGCAGATCAGTAACTCTTCCACAGTTTAGTCTAGAGCACTAAGAGATTAAGTGACTTGCCCAAGGTCACATAGCCATGATGTATTTGAGGCAGGACTTAAATTTAGTTCTTTCTGATTCCAAGGCTGGCCCACTATCGACTTCATCATGTGACCTTTATACCAGTGGTTCTTAATTTTTGTGTGTGTCATAGGCACTTTTGATAATCTGGTGAAGTCCAGGGACTCCTCAGGATAATGTTTTGAAATGCATAAAACAAAATACATAAATTTACAAAGAAAAACAATTATGTTGAAATACAGATATCAAAATATTTTTTTAAAAAGTCACAGACCTCTCAGGTTTAGAACTCCTGCTCTAGACTCTAATTAGAAGAAGTAAAATCAAGTGGCATTAAAGAATAAAGGAGAATCTTAAAGTAATTTCCATTTGGTTTTGGAATAAATTTGAATATGAATGTGTTTAACGTTTAAGGGCTTTATAAGACTTTATGTAGCAAGGGTAAATAAAGGAACCTTTGAATTGGTGGATTTTGGGTACTTCCAAGGGGGCTGGATAGGCACTTTGGTGTTTTACTGCAAGATATGCCCTTTCCTTGCTGGGATGACCCAGGTTACTCCTGATTGGTCTCCAGTGACTACGGTTGCCTTGGAAGCTGATTGGAGAATGAGGTGAGGATAAACTTTTCTAGGAAGGGGCTGCCTTTTGTGGTATCTATAACAGTTATGTAAAAGGCTCCCCTCTCTTTCGGTACGCTTTCCCAATGCTTTCTCTCCTTTAAACTTTCAGCAAGGTTGGAGGAGGGGATTTATCTGTATATTTTTGCTGTATACCCCATTGCTAGTGGGGGTAGGAGAAGCAAAGGGCCAGAGTGTATGTACAGCCCTCTGAGAAGTGCTTCAGTCTAGCAAGCCATAGGCTCCCCAGATCATCCTTACTATGTTTAACTCATCTACTGAAGTCACACATGAGGAACTGTTGGGATAGAAAATGTAAAGCTATCCAGTTTCCCCAACTCAACCCTTAGTGAATTTTCACCTACTCCCCATCTCATTCTGAGAATAGATAGCATCACCTCTCAGACTGGTACAAAGAACTCACCTAAGCAGATCTTTCTGCTCCTTTGTCTTTCTTCTCCAGACTGCCAGGACAGGAAGAGTAAACAGAGATGGTAATGATGTCAACAAAGAATTTATTTAATCAGAGGTGGTGATAATGTCAACAGAGCTTGAAAACAAGGCTTGCCCTGAATAAACTGTAATTCAGATAATGAAGATAATCAGGAGCTAACAGGAATTTGTTTTTTGCACTTTAAAAGATTATATATAAATCCTGATAAAAACTAATGGTGTAACTAGCACTGTGGGAGATATAGCTCCCTGGCAACTTCATGGGAATTTGTCAGAGCCTGAAAGTCTTGCGCACAGGAAACTTCATTCACATTTAATGCTGAGCAAATGAGTAGGAAACAAAAGGCGGCATTTAATTAGGATGTAATTATTCATCCATAGTGGGCTCCCAGCACCATGTCCTGTTCTCATTAGAGGAACGTCATCTTCATTAGCAGGCAGAGTCACTTCCCAATTTCACCTGCCTGAGGGAGGAATGGCTTTTTGGAAGGAGCACCAGCTGTGGGAAATCACCATGGTGTGCCCCATGGTAGGGATTGAGCGACAGAGAAGAGAAAAAGACATTCCTAGAAAGTTTCTCGTAAGCTAGCTGTGCAGCCTTCTCTGAGATCCAGCAAACAACAAGATACAGCAAACTCCTGTAGAGAGGAGGGCTGCGTGGAAAGTGTGGTCCACACAAATGTGTATATTGATCCCAGGCTGGGGTCCTTCATGGGATGTGCCATAAACCCATTCCAAGCTAGCAATGAAAAGTCTGATCCTATGAATGTAGCCATCTCTATCTCTCTTTTGGGGGGGGGGCAATTGGGGTTAAGTGACTTGCCTAGGGTGGCACAGCTAGTAAGTGTCAAGTGTTTGGTTTGAGGCCAGATTTGAACTCAGGTCCTCCTGACTTCAGGGCTGGTGCTCTATCCACTGTGCCACCTAGCAGCCCCAAATGTAGCCATTTCTTACCGAAGGAAGCTTGACATTGGAGGATGAAACAAGGAGGGAGAGTATGCTTTGAAGTGTCAGATCTTACTCTGTCGGACAACACTGGCTCTGAAATAATAACAATAACAATGAAATGAATATAATGTTAAGGCTAGCAACTCAGTCTTGATTAACGCTCATGAAAGATTCTAATAATAGCAGTTAGGTCCCAATTAGTGCTTTGTGAGTTCCCTGGAGTAGTTGCATTATCATCGTCATCGTCTGAATCTGCATCATCATTATCATTTGTACTACTCAAAGTTATAATTATATGTAAAATATAACAATTGGATTGAAGGTGTAACTATATACATGTGTGTATAGATATGTGTACATATATATATGTACATATATATATATATATGTATATACACACATACACACATACACATATATTATAGTAATTGATTCCAGTCCAATCTGAATAGTGTGACCACTTCTAAGGATTCTTTATACAGACTGATTTGATCTAGATGTAGTAAAAGCAGTAAAATGGATGACAATGTATTTTTAAAATACCAAACAAAAATATACACAATGTTAACAAAACACAGTCTATTTTCTTAAGGCAGTTACAGAAAGAGTAAAACTTCCTCATCAAAAAAGAGGAAAAGGACTAATAGATGTTTATCCAATTGCCTAATAAGCAGGTCAAAACTTACAAGAATAATTCCTGAACCACTTCATGGAATGACAGCAAAAGCAGGATGATAGATATATGCCACTGGGCTTCTCAATTGTCACAGATTTTGGTTTACCTCGAGTTAGAACCTACGAAAACAGCTAAGATCCAAAAATACCACATGAACTCAACCAATATATCCACAAAGAAGCATTGGACAAATGGCTTTCGTCAAGCAGATTTATTTCTAGAAATGAAGAGATTTTTGATAGCAATATGAGACTAGGAATTATTGTAAGTCTATCCATAAGGAACTGGGACTTAACAGTACTTGTTACAGTTCCATTCCTATAGCCCCATTTTTCAAGGAAATAGTAGAAACTGTCCAATATGTCACAGTGGGTTACAAAACTTTAACACCTATTTAATATTTCAAAGGATATGATCAAAAGGCCTGAATTATATACCTGGAGCTCTCTGTTTCCCTGAAATTTAAGAGACATGAAATCTCTTTACTACAGATACAGACCCTAAAATATCTTTAAGAATTTAACAAGTATGGGGCAGCTAGGTGGTGCAGTGGATTGAGCTCTGGCCTTGAATTCAGGAGGGCCTGAGTTCAAATCCAGTCTCAGACACACAACACACATGTACTAGCTGTGTGACTCTGGGCAAGTCACTTAACCCCAATTGCCCAGAAAAAGCAAAAAAACAAACAAATAAAAAAAGAATTTAACAAGTAAATAGCCCTAGAACCAGAATATTATTACAGACAGAAGTGTTGTCGACAATAGTCTGGATATAATATTGACCCCACAGACTTTCAAGAACAATGTTTTTTTAATAGATGTCATCATACTGAGCACTTACAACCTCCAAATTATGTCAGATGGAAAAATTTCAAAATATAGAGAGTAAAGTTCCTGAAGGCACAGTGAAAAGGGAGACCAGAGGAAGAGAGCAGCTGGGGAAGGGTTAGGGCTAAGTTTTCTATGGTGGGTTGAGTGATGACAGTGGCCAGTGAGGCCTGCAGTGAGCTACACTGGCTGCTGATTCCTCCAGTTCCTCTTGTACTAATTCTCAGGCCAGGAAGATTCTAGGATTAGCCGACCTTACTTTGGTGAGAAGGCTTTCAAAGAGAAGGTTTGTGGGACCCTCGGGATGGCAGACTGAGAGCTAGAGAGAAAAGCTGACATGTTAGGTGGCTAGCATTTCCAAGCCCACCAACATTGTGGACCTCATCCCCTAGGGTAAGGAATCTTGCATCCCGGGGCAATATTACCATCTGAGGCATAGCTGCAGTCACCTCAATTAAATCCAGCTCTGGCTAGAACATACCATTCTTTCATTCAGGGTAGAACCAGGAGTAGCAGGTGAAAGTTGCAGAAAAGACTTTTTAGGCTTGTTTTAAAGGAAAACTTCTTAAACATTAGAGCTACTCAAAAGTGGAGTGGTCCACCTCAGGAGGCAGTGGGCTTCTCCTCACTAGAGGTCTTTGAGCAAAAACTAGATGTATATTGCAGAGGGGGTTCATGTTTGGTGTGTGCAGAATTATACCAGGGGGTCCTTAACCCTTTTTGTGTCAAGGACATCTTTGGCAATCTATTGAAGCTTATGGAACACTCATTCAGAATAGCGTTTTTAACTTCATAAAATAAAATAAAATATTTTGTATTATTGTATTATAAAATAAAATAAAATAAAGTATTGCAAAAGAAATCAATTATATTAGTATATATTGAAATATAGTCAAAACATTAAGATAGTTTATGGATCCTAGCTTAAGAATCCCTGGCTTAGACAATTTCTGAAGCTTCTGTCAAGTTATTCTATGGACGACTAGAAGGTGACAAGGAGATTTGGAAACCGCATCATATTAAATTGTTAAAGAAACTGGTGGTCTGCAGAGGAGAAGATGGGTGGGGTGGTGGACAAAATCACTGTCTTCAAGTATTTGAAGGGTTGTTATGTGGGACAGGTATTAGATATCCTTTTTACCCTAGAGAAGAGAATTAGGACCATTAAATAAAAGTTATAAAGAGACAGATTTCTATTTAATATAAGCAATTCCTGGTAATTAAAATAGTGAAAAAAATGAGATGGGCTACCTCATGAGATAGTGAGTGCCTCAGTGCTGAAGGCATTCAAACAGAAGCTAGCTGACAACCTGTCATGAATGCTGCAGGGGTGGAGGAAAGTTCCTGCCTCATATGGGGTTTGGACTAAAAGAGCTTTCAACTCTGTTGAAAGTGCTTCTGTGCTTTGGCACTTCTCCTGGTCACTGTGAGATTCCTTTCCCCTTTAGCTGGAATAACACTCTCTCAAGCTTTCCTAACCAAGAGTTTCATCTGATTCTGTTACAGCACCACCTATGAGCTATTTCCCCAACTTACATTCCCACTTACAGGTTGGATCCCACAGGGTAGCTGTTACTTCAAGTTCTAGATTATCCATATTGCTCTGCAGTTCTAGCACTTTTGCTCATGAGCCCCTACCAATGTGATTTCCATTAAAAATCAGACAGTAGACACAATTAACTCAGCAAATGCAGTTGCAAAGAAGGCATAGTAAGAACAGTAGGTATAAAACAATATGGAACAGTAGGCATAAAAACCTCTTCCCCTAAACCTGGGACTCAATCTCCCATAAATAATCACGAGAAGAGTGGACTCTGGATAGAGCAGTGGCCCTGAAGTCAGGAGGAACCGAATTCAAATCCCGCCTCAGACCAAAGACTTGACACTTACTAGCTGTGTGACCCTGGCCAAGTCACTTAACCCCAACTGCCTGAGCAAAAATAAATAAATAAATAAAAGATGAGAAGAATGGACTCAACCTTAGAGTTTGAGTGATAGAATGTATGTGAGATTAATTGTGGCAAAGACAGCTCATAACTTCTAGTGTTACAGGGTCTTTAAGTCCTTTCTTTCTTCATAAAATCTCTTGCCGGGTTCCTAGGGTCTGTTCCTCTCCATAAATCCAAGTAACTTCCTCCCTCAGGTGACTATCTCTCAATATCTATGTCCATCTGCTCCTGGGTAGATGCAAGATCTCCTGCTGGTTCATTACCTTCCTCCTCTGTAGGGTGTTTCCTCCTCTCCAGCCTTTCAAAGTCTGAGAAACTTTGAACCCCTGGATGGAGTGTTTCTGAGACTAGATGCCATGATGGGAGAGGAAGAGGAGAGAGAAAAATACCCTCTCCCCCCCAAGGAGTCTCAGTCCACAACTCTTTCAAGCTTTGACTGCCTCAGGTTTCTCAGAACTTAACTATTTAAAGCCCATAGAGGCATGATTGATTTGTTTCTACAGCCAGTCTCTGATGTTTCCTTTTTGATTCAGTCACAGAAACTTCTGCATCTCTGTGAGATTTAAACATCTAAATACCTCATTAGCACCCTGTCATTACATAGCAGGTCTTTTGTAACTACATCAACTGAGGTATGAGAACTCAAGGGTGTGCTGGTAAATGTTTAAGAACCCGTTCTCTGAAAAAAATATATAAATGCTTGACACATTTTTGGGTGGAGGCAATTGGGGTTAAGTGACTTGCCCAGGGTCACACAGTTAGTAAGTGCCTGAGACTGAATTTGAACTCATGTCCTCCTGATTCCAGGGCTGATGCACTATCCACTGTGCCACCTTGCTGCCTCCTGCAGATTAATTTTAAAATTTAATGTGCATTATTAGCATTTTCTCCATCACTTTCTTAAGTCTAAACAATCAGCAAAGCTATAAATCAAGTCCTTATTTGTAGTGTTTGCTGATTTCAAAGGTATAAATGCTCATACTGAAAATTTAACGGTAAACTCTCAAAGCCAATAAGAGCTTGTTCCAGAATACTTCTAGGAGACTCCCTCTCTTACACTGAAAAAAAAATAAAAAAGCAAAGCACAACCTTAGGGACTTTAAAAAATCCTAATTTAATCAAATTTTACTGCAAAACCATTCATTTTAACTTCTTTTGGAGAGAAAACTGACAACCCCCATATTTACATAAATGAGTTCTCTCTTCATTTTCCAACACTTTCCCCTGTGCACCCACAGGTGGTTGGGAGATGGACAATTATAGCTTGCCCTGCAAAGAGACCAGGTAGATTGTTATAAAAAGAAAGAAAAGGCCAGGAAGGTTTGAAATAGAATTGGGAAGAGAAGGCAATGGAGAGAGAGGAAAGAAAATACAAATGGAGCCAAGCAGCTTTCCCTGCTGCTACTACAGGAGGCCTTCCATTCCTCTTTACAAACAAAGACACAAATAAACACACACACACACACACACACACACACACACACACACTCCTGAGGGGAAGCAAAAAGGTCCTTGCAATAGTTTCAGATCTTTGGGGCTCGGATGGCAAGACATGCACTTCCCAGGCTTTAATGCTCCCAAGACCACAGAGGCAAGATGGAGACATGGAGAAGGAAAGTGACCCTGGAAAGAATTTGGGGA